TTTTTTTTTTGCAACACCCTAGTTTTTGGTCAGATGTTGAAAAGTTTCAAAAGTTTCTTTTCCTACATGTTACTCATCATAGGCAATTAGAAAACCTGTTTTTAATTTCTTTTTTTTTATCTTTGGCCAAATTTTCAATTTTCATGTCATTTGTTTGGTCTATCCTGATAAATTGACGAATATTTTGTAAAATTACTTACTGAAAATGTAATCTTTTCTTGCATATTTCTCATCAAATTAAGGCATTTAGAGAATATTTTTTGAATTTTTCTTTTACATTTTTGGTCGACTTCTAAAAATGTTGACAAATTTTTTATTAAATTATTTTTCAAAATTGTATCTTTTCCTTCATGTTTCACAGCAAATAAGGGCGAGAACATTTTTCTTTCTTTTTTTCATTCTTTTTAGAGAACATTTTTAGAATTTATTTTGGTATAAAATGTTTGTTCGTATCATATTTGTCAAAAAAAAATTGATAAACATTTTTGTAAAATTATTTTTCGAAATGCTATTTATTCCTGCATGTTTCTCCTAAAATTAGGGCATTTAGAGAACATTTTTTGAAAGTCTTTTTTATAAAATTGTGAACTTTGTGTAATCTTTGGTCAAACATAAAATTGACGAATATTTTGGTCAAAATATTTTTAAAACTTTTATCTTTTCCTGCATGTTTTGCATCAAATTACGACATTTAGAAAACATTTAGAATTTTTTTGCGTACAGTTTTTTGTCAGAATTTGAACTTTCTGTGTCATTTTTTGGTCAAAAAAATATAAAACTTTGACAAAAAATAAATATATACAGACATTTACTGAGCCTCACGTGATTTTCAGGCACAGCTGAAGGTTCTCCAGATTTAAGACGCACTCAAATGGAAATGTAACATCAGTTGTGAGTTTTAATTTCTGAGAAATGAAACGTATACGTTTGACAGAGACAATTACATATTTGTCCTTGTACCAGTGTAATTAGAAAGGTGTGACAACAACATGCACACACGCACACAGATCAGCTGTCGCCTGAAGTGAGAGCGAGGATGATAAACAGTCTCTAAAATTGACTTTAGAATATTTGTGTTTCCAGCAACCATCTATTATCAATCCAATTAAAGAGGGCTTGGGCAGATGAATTTGGAGGATGACGTAAGTAAAAGATGGTTCAAATCTAAATGTACTGGTGTCAAGGCTGGCACCAGTTTCTAAAACAACTGTCTGAAAACAAAAGCTAATTTATTGGGGATTTACAGTATTTTGCATAAGGAAACTTTTCTGACTACAAAAAAAGATAAAAATAAGAATAAGAAAAAAAAGTATTTTATAACCCTAATCATAGCCCTAACACTAATAATAAAAAACAAAAATTAAAATATATATAAAAATATTTTTAGCTATGTCCATTTTGGTGGTTAACATTTAAATAAAATGTACTTCTTTGGTACGCCATCTTTTGATTACAATAAAATACTATACTAATAAGTAACTGAAAAAGTCTTCAAAAACAAAAAGTTCTAAAAATGTGTAAAAACGCACTCATTTGCCTTAAAATACTAGGCTATGTCAATTTTTGTTTTTAATATTCAGAAAAAATATACTTTTTTGTATGCCCTCTTTTGATCACAGTAAAATACTATACTAATAAGTTCCTGAGTCCTAATAACAAATTGTTCTTTTTATTATTACTATTATTTTACCCCAGTTTTTGGTGATGATTTTTTTTCTGCACGTTTCTCATCAATAACTGTATTTTATCAAATATTTTGTTAAAATTGTTTTTTTTTTTTTGGCAAATCCCTTGTTTTTGGTCAGATGTTAAAAAATTTAGATGAAAAGTTTTGTAAACCTTTTTTCAAATTTCTTTCTTGTGTGCATGTTTCTCAACAACATATATCTTTTTGAAGAAGTTAGAATTTTCTTTTGGGAATTTTCTGGTTTAATTTTCATTTAGACATTGAACATTTTCACAAAACCATTAATTTGATTTGTTTTGTTAAAAGTTTCTTTGGGCTTCTTTTGGCAAAATTTTAGTTTTTGGTCTGATGTTGAAAAATGTAGATGAAAACTTTAAATTTTTTTCAAAATGTATTCTTGTCTGCAAGTTTCTCATTAATAACTGTATTTTGAAAAAAAATATTTTGTTTACATTTTTTTCTTTTTGTTTTTTGCAAAACCTCAATTTTTGGTCAGATGTTGAAAAAAATGAAAATCTTTACATTTTTCTTTTCGATTTTCTTTCTTTTCTGCATGTTGAGATGTTTTACATCAAAATATATCTTTTTAAAATAAGTTATATATTTTTTTATTCTTCTGGTAAAGCTAATTTTTGTTTAGATGTTGTAAAATAATGATTTTTTTTTTGCAACACCCTAGTTTTTGGTCAGATGTTGAAAAGTTTCAAAAGTTTCTTTTCCTACATGTTACTCATCATAGGCAATTAGAAAACCTGTTTTTAATTTCTTTTTTTTTATCTTTGGCCAAATTTTCAATTTTCATGTCATTTGTTTGGTCTATCCTGATAAATTGACGAATATTTTGTAAAATTACTTACTGAAAATGTAATCTTTTCTTGCATATTTCTCATCAAATTAAGGCATTTAGA